GACCGCAATACGGCGTCTAATAATTACAATAAATTCTCATTGAAGTAAGTTGGATCTAAACTTAAAGATAATTAGACTATTAACACTCGAACGCCGGATCCTTTTGCCAGAAATATCACCGAGTATGCTTAGGATCACTTATAAACTTTCTTTAATTAATTTTTTTCTTTTCATCATATATTTTAAGGTACTCATCCTAGGCATGTTAGTTTTGTTTATATAGTAGATCGTTTTTAATAAGCACACGAAAATTTCAATCAATTGCCAGACAGTTGGAAATGTTGGAAAAGTAACCGATGTTATATAACATTGCTTTGTAATTTATATTTTAATGTTAATTTTTAACATTGCTTTGAAAATTTGATTGAGTAAAATACTGTAATTTTATGCAATTTTTTAGACGTTTGACGTGGCTGTCCAAACGTTAAATACATATATTACACAAAGCATATGATATACATATAAGTACACAATTAAATACATATGCATTAGGTATTTACACGTGTCTGTTGTTGTGCGTGCCCGCTAATTGTTACGTGGTAATTGATATAATTGTGTTAAGTGGAGACGACCGCCGTTTTGTTGAATTCACTTTTTCAAATAATTTTTAACAAAAACTCTATTCCACATTCCCTGAATCGTATCATTATCAATCGAATTGTCACTATCAAATAAATACATCGAAGATTACTTTGACCATTTCCTTTTTAATAATAATGATTGCAAGTAAAAGAGCAACAAATTAAAAAGTGCATTGTCATTCCTCGATATTCAAAGGAGTATTAAAAGTCAATAGATAAAGTGTTAACAGTTGGCACGTCAGAATATCGTTTAATAATAATTATTATGGCAATTTCTTATTTATGAAAAACAGTGACGACATCGATCGTTGATTATATTAAATTATTTTTAAGTAACATAATGTAATGATTCTCTTTTGCATGTATTAGTTTAAATAAATATTTTTCAAAGTATTAACATTAATTAGCACGAATGAATTCGAGTTCTCAAGAAGTGAGATAATTTGTTCCCAATAAACAGGGAACAAGAGAGATGTTATCAGAACTTTGCGATTCGTTTTGGTTAAAAATATACTGACCCATTCAAAACGCGTCTGTTTCGAGGTCAAAAGCGATAGGTGTGATTGCGATTACACAATGAAGCAATGTTTTTCAGAAGATTTGGGATTGATGTATATATGTATACACGACTGTAGAGTTAAGAATAAATGTGTTTTCGCTGGCATTGTCGTAGTAGACATTTCTCCTATTGTAATTTCTTTCCTCTGTGTTCTGTTGAAGATGGTACCGTTAAACGCCGCGCCGGTGATTCGTTTGAACGCGAAAAGTGGGTCTATGCGCTCGAATAATTTGCTTTATGGAATTACCGAACCAAGTCGAGTTACCAGTTATCGACGTATTGCCGATATACTAAATAAAGAACTTCCAATAAATCGGTAAAACATTGAACAAAAACACTAAAACTATTTCTCGTACTTTGAACAGTTTCATCGAGAAACAACATTATTTGTATTTGTATTATATATATTATATATATATTAACATAAATGAACAATAGCGCAATAAATTCCGAAATAATATTAGCAAACACTATTAAGCACACAATAGGATACACGTAAAAACGTTAAATGAAATACTACAAGTATTTGCAGTGTCTTGGTAAAGAGTAGTAAAAAATAATATTTAACAGTAGTTAATAAATGATTAAAAAAATAGTAGTCTTTTCGAATTGTTTCCAATTTGTAGGAATAGTCTTGATGTGAAATATTTTTATCGACATTGCTCATCGAACTACATGCAGATCTTTCTACGAAATAAAAGTTTTCTGTACCTATTTCGAGAAACGAGAATTATTATAAGTGTTAAAAATAACGTTTATAGAATTGCGTATTATCTGCGCCAATATCAATATGTATAAGATGTATAAGATGATGATGTATCAATATGTATATAAGATGATGTATGTAAAAAGTTGATACGCCCAGCGTTATTAATCTGACCACAGTTCACAGTGGCTTATTATTAAAGCCGGAAACTAGTTAAGTGGAGTTTTATTTATAATGGAAGCTATTCATAGAATTGCTTGAAAATCAGTTCGAAGTCTAACCAGAAAACTTATTTATCACGACGACTGGTACGTCAGTTCTCGTATATTCTGTAATAATTTTGTGTTCAATTCCACGTTTAACAAAGTCGCACGTCAAAGTTTTACAATTTATTATCTATATTAGTTTCTGTCTGTAATTGTAATGTATTCATTGACACTACAATGTGCAACTATGAGACCGCAGTTTTGACAGAAACTTACACATTTATGCAACAAAAAAATTAGTGGATGACAATCGAAGCAGTAGAACGATTAGAGGAACACATTTTGAGCATTTTATTCTGCATTTATTAAAATGTTAAACATAGAGAGAACTTTCTATTTGGCTCCTATATCCCGTCGAATCAATATTAATGCAGCGAATTTGTTTGTGTTCGCGTTCGGTTCAACTGAAATCTCTGTTATTTACTATGCGAACGTGTACCGGTAACACTTATTTCGGTCGTGAACAGTGATCTACGATTTTTATTGTAACAAAGCGAACGATCACTATACATACGGGGAAAAGGACATTAATTTCAACAGCATTATAATTGATAGTAACACGAGATTTTTTTATGAAATGTCATTTTATTCAGCCTGAAAGATCACTTGAGCCGGTGAAGTTCGAAGCCATCAGAAGCTCCAAACAACAAAACATGTTCTTATAAGTATCACAATTAAAGCCGAGTGGCGGTTAACACATGGTTAGACAAACAGTTTTAGGATTAGTACACAGTATTTACATAGAATTCGTATCAGTACACTGAGATAGTTATACGAAGTAGCGCAATACAAATGAAACGAAACGTTCGTGGAATCATACGCCATACGGTAATAACATGGCGGAACATGTTAACGAAGCATTCAATTAAAAACTGAAAATTCAAGTCATTGGATTAGACGTAATAAGCGTACACCTACAATTGCCCAGCATTCCTGATACAGACGCCATTCTAGTTTTACTTTGTACATAATTAGAGCTTCTACAGTTATTACATCATGAACAATCAAAACAACACGACGATTGTTTGCTTTAGAAAATGCGTTACTGTTGTTACCGTTGGTCGACATCGTTTTTTTAACATTTAGGAATTATAATTATTTTCATACGCAATATTAGATGAAATCACATATAATAGGTATTTCCGTACACAACGATGAAGAATATTCGATTTGCTCGTATCTTTATTCGTGGTTAAAGAAAGGTAATTGTTGAATATTGTTCATTATACATATAAACTTGTTCGCGTGTATACTTGAATATACAACTTTTGCGACGATGTTACTGCAACGATATCAACAAAAATTTCACCAAGTTTCGTTGAATGGAAAACGCAAGATATAAATTGTGTTTGACCTATCTAACTAATTCTAATCGTGATGGTATTTTAAAGGGATTACAAATTGATATCTAAGCATAATAAGCCAGGGCACAAAATTATGAATGACGATAACATTATTGGTGGACAGCTACAGCGATAGAGGTGAAATTGTAGATTATGAACCATCCCACTTGATAGAAGATTACATTTAAGATAGGTAAAATCGTGAGGTTGCATCCGATAACGTACGAAAATGATGATTTATTTCTCTGATATACGGTATCACGTAGTATTAACTCAGAGTTCGGTAAATATTGGTAATATTAGTAAATAAATTAAAATATTAGTAAATATTAGTTATGTTCAGGGCGCATTGTACTCAAGATTATTATGAATTCAATCGATTAGTTTGTTTATCATTGTCATACAAAATTGTATACGGTCGGTCACGTAAAAAAATCGGACACCTCTCGAATCGATTTCCCAAGAACTCTCGACGTTCCGTCTGTTAAAATGTCGCAGAAATAAATCGTTCCTTCGAAAGTTGCAAATTTCGGTACACGACGTTCTCGACAAGAGAACGTTTAAATTCTAAAAGTTCGATTAGATCAAAAAACCAGACAAGTCCGCGTGACCGCGACGTTACATTTCGATAGTCGAGCCCTTAAGGAAATTATAACTACAATGTCGAACATGTTGACGTGTTCGCTGTCCGATAAAAATAAGTAAACAGAAGCTGAAAGCAAGAAAGAGATGTTCGCTCTGCGAGAAAAACAAAACAACTATATTCTGATATATTGTCAATATCAGCTATCCGCGACGAAATTGGCGGAATATAATACTTGGTACCCAGTTTGTCGATTAATTCCGCTGAACCGAACAGTTCGAAACGAAAGAAAGTCGCCGTAGCAGCTCTCGTTCTCGACCAAAAAAGAAAAGTTAAAGGCCGAGCACGTGTTGACCGTGAACGTGAACACGTTGCGTTCAGCAACCCATCCGCATCCTCATTTTACTACGGCGTGCGATATACGTGAATCAGAGTAAACGATAATAGTATCTGGCAGGTGGAACCATCGAGTTTTTCCATTGACGTTGTGCGGCACGATTGGTCCGTTCCCGTCGCCGATTCGAACATCCGATTCCGGGCTACCGTTCGCGCTAATCGTCAGCCGTAGCTACGCTTTTCCTTCTACAACGCGCACGATCGTCTATAATCTACAATATAGAAGATTACGTGCGCTTGAAATTGATGAAACATAACGTGCATGGTAAACGCCATACATCGGTCACAGAATTTATAATGGTCGAGATAACGCGATATCGGCGCGGATCCTCCGCAAAGTGGGGAACGAGCATACACAACCCGTTACCGGCGATCACGCCACATCGGAATCCGCTCAGTGTTTTGAAATCAGTGCCGTATACACGACACCCAAATCCTCATCGTTCCACCTAACAGTACATATCGCTTTATTGTTAAATTATAGACAAGAACACTAAAAGATGGAGCGTAAGAAAATGCCGAACGACGAATCGACCTGGACGACGTGTAAATATTTGCAGGCTCACCGTTCTCCTCGAGTTTCCTTCTTCGTTCTACGTTTTCCTTCTCTCTTATCTCTTCTAAGAAAATGAAATATTTCGTAAGCTAGATCACGGAATATCTCACGAGTCAGTCGTGTGCGGTAATATTCGAAGGGCACGTACCTGATGCGACGTTCGTTGAATCGCAATCTTTACGGTGACCACGAACAAATCAACGAAACGATGTGAAGCAACGAACCGACGAACGAATCGAACGAACCGAACTGAAAAAAAAAATCAACGAACAAACGAACGATTCACGTTGGGTCTGTAACTCGGGCTCCTTCCGGCCGCGACAACTTCCACGCGACACGAACGTTCTTGCGATACTGACAGGGACACGCCGTGTCCGCCGTGATAATCCACGCTCGCCTCGCGATCTACTCGGGATCTACACGTACACGGAACGACGGAACACTGCCGCTATTCCGTGAGTTTGTGAGTCTCTCGGTCCCGCGGAGCCCCTTTGTCCGTGAGCATGTGGCGGGGACCGGCTGTGGCTGTCGGGCACGGAGTTGCCGGTCGCCTAACTCTTGACTTTTCTTCGAACGATTAATAGAAAATTTCCATTCACCGCATAAACAACGTGATGAGAAACTACATTGTCGTTATCATCTGATTGTTGTCATTCTTACACGCTTCTCCAGTGAAAATTCACACATTTTCATGCCTCGACAATGTATAATTTTTCCACCTTAACCCAATCGGTCAAATGTTAGTGCGCAACGCGAATATTTATGAAAACTGCGAGACCACGTTTTCTGCATCTATTTCTAGGAAGCGTGCGTAAGTCGATAAAGTTATCAGTTTTTTCACAGTCTTCTTTTATCTGGAACGAAAATTTGTGAAATGAGACTATACCGTGTAAAGCGATACAAATACGCAGTCATGTTAGAATCTGAAATTTGGAATCTCTCTGGTATGTAGAAAATGTTATTGTTCTCTAGAAGAAACGTTCATAAGACAGTCTCTACATTCTAAACCAGCAAATTAGACAACGCGTGTAAGATGTTTCTGTTAATATTATTATATTAACCCTTTGCAGTCGAAGCTGTTTGAACTCGAAATCCAAAACATGATTTCTGATCTACAGTATTTCTATTTTATATAATTTATTGCGATTTATGCATATGAAATTGAGCCTATTGCAGCAAGTACAATGCAATTTTAATAGTTTTTTAAATATATAAACGAGCTCTCTGATGCTCTCAGAATGATTTTGAAAAATAGTATACCAATTTTTAGTGGCGCCTCAGAGTCGCCATTCGAGTGCAAAGGGTTAACAATATTAAAGATAGATTTGCTCGTGTAATTATTGAAAAAAAACAGCGTGAACGACAAATCATGTTAATTAGGAAAACAAATAATTGTGGTCATTAAATAGACAACTGTGTAGGGTAAACGAGTCATTGAGAGATAAATGATACCGAATTCTGCTATCGACAGCACGGCAAACAGTGATCAAAATAAATCTCAGAATAGTTTAGGTTTAGGAAATAATGAAGGTTGAGAACCATTAAAGAAAAACATAAAATCCTTTTCAAAAGCTGCCATAAATAAGCACGATTATAGCTTGCAGAAAAAAAATTAATTTTTGCAATGCGAAACGTTTTAATTCGATTGCGCCTAATAAGAAGATTTAATTATATTTATATATATTTCTATTTTCATAGAATAGGAGATACAAAGTCCGTTTGTACAAAAATAATTGGTAGAGTATAAAAATTATGATTCGAAATAGTAGTGAACAATGTGTACATCTTTCAAACTTTAGGAACTTTAACGAACTAACATCGTACAATTTCAAATAGCTGTATAATGGCGCGCGTAAGAAACCCACGGATTATGAATACATGCGCAGTCGATATCAGATACATACGCATCACGTTACAAACACAAATCGCAGGCAAGTGAAACGATATACATATGTGTGGTATTTGTTCTTGCGCGTTAGTTTGCTAATACTGGCTGCACACGATTGCTGAAAAACACCGAGAAATTTCAGATTCTGGATCATAACAGTTGAATCGATTTATTAAAATGCCAGGCACACCGATGAGGGAACAAAACGATACATTGGAGAAGCTTCAAACGACGGAACGGCAACCGAATACGAATTGCGAGCCTGTTCCCGTTGTGAGGGAAATCACGCAGACCGATCGATTGAATAAAAAACTGTTGGTATCGCTTTTGGAACGAATGAACAAGTCAAACGGTGAGTTCGACAAGTTCCTGGAGAAAGAAATCTTCGATCGCAATTCCCAGGATGACAGCGAGTTTTAACTGAAACTAAAAACATTACCTATAAAACATAACCTAACATACCACTGAACGACAAGATTACCGTTACGTGCAATTATTGAGGCACGTTCATGAGGAGAAAACATAGTTCAAGAATTTCTCCCGCACCGGCTCGCAGTCAAGGATTTGTTTAGCATCTTTTCAATTTACTCAAGGGAACTAAAGCTGAGGAGTTACGATTTTATAGCGGAGGAATTGACTTTTGTTTACATTGAAACTAGTTTGAATACTACTTGTTCAATATGCCAAATAACTCCGATTACGATGACGTGGACGATATAGTAGCTGAATATGAAAGATACGATTTGGACGCAGAACAGGATACCGAAGACAGAGATGTAGGTTCTGGTAATGAGGAAAACCAAGATGAGAACACTGTACCGAGAAGAGTTGACCCTTCAGCCCCTAAAAAGCATACAGTGAGAGACCCTATACCGAAGCTAAGTACAGAACGTTTAACAGGTCCTAAAGGATTACAAACTATTGAGAAGTATTTCGAGGGATTTAAATTTCATGGTAAAGGACACGAGAAATTTGATTTGGATAGAATTCTAAAGAGAATGGAGCACTGGTCGCATAGATTATTTCCAAAATTAGAATTCGATGCTTTCTTGGAAAGATTAGAAAGGCTGGGTACTAAAAGAGACCTTCAGGTGTTTATAACAAAATATAGGCAGGATATGATTAATCCAGACATTGTTGCGTCGAACGAGGATATAGTAGACGATGATAACGAGAAGGAACAAGACGAGCCTATAGATGAGTTTGATTTATTAATTGCTGAACAAATAGAAAAACAGAAACAAGTTAGCATACAATCAGTTGATAAATCCACAGCCGATGCTCTGTTTGATGAATTAATGTCGCAACCAAATAATAAAGCCTCCCAGCCTATGAAGGAAAGTACTAGTTCCTCACAGCCTATGAAAGAAAATACTAGTTCTTCCCAGCTAAGCGACGAAGTAAAAGAACGTATAGAAAGGAATAGGCAACAAGCTCTTCAAAGAAGACAAGCTAGACTGAAAGCTATGGAAGAAGAAGCCAAGAAAAAAAGGTTGGATGGAAGTAGTGGTACAGAATTCGCAAATATTTCAAACAATGCACAAACATTGAACGATACTCGGAGTCTGGAGAATGAAGATTTACAAAAAGTAGAAAATGAAAAAGAGAATTAAGACAATTATTACGATAAAATTGCTTTGTGAACAAGTTTTGTTAAACGAAAGTATTGGTCATAGCATTTAGATAAGGATAAGTACAGTAAATAAAAGATTTTATTATAAAAAAATTATATAGTTCTTCTTAAGCATTCGTGTATGTACGTTGAATGAATAAAAACCTAATAATAGTTATGCATTTATTTTTACTTAGGTTCTACGTTTTTGTGTACTGATATACAATACATTGTTACCACGAATGAAAGCATCGCCGTACTTGTCTTTTAATTGTCCATTTACATACTCTTCTGTTTGTTCGAGTGCTATATTCATGTAACCATCGAGACAGGCTAAAACACCTGCAAAATATGAATGATTAGTAACAATTGGTAATGTAATTGATAAAATTGTAAACAAATATTTCACCTCTGTAATCTACGCCGCTATTTAATTTTACAACAACAGGGCGTCCATGAATTTGTTGAATAAATTGAGATAATGCTTCCTTACGACTCATCTGTAAATTAATATTCCCAAGAAAGCGTTAGTTACAAATATTTTAAAGCAACAAGTATCTGTATACGAGGTTAAAATTTTTGAATTGTAACTCACAGTTATGAAGTTAAGTAAAGCTTTTTTTTATGTATTTTGATTATAAAACTACGAGTATTGTCAGTACTACTTGATGTTTACAAATAATTATGGATATAAATAAAACTTCACTTGTAATTGGTGAAGAACTATGTACACACGGGGTTGTATGTGACAATGTTTTTAGGCAATCCTGTATTCTGTATCGTATACATATGTACAGGCGGTCATTGGTGGCGCCTCTTTTGGAGAAAAGATGAAGCTCCGTTCGAAATACGTACAACGCCAATTGGTGCAGTAGCGAAACCTTCAAACTACTAGCTAAACTACCAACAGTCGATTTTGGCTAACAGTTTCAGCATTTTGCCACCGCACCAATTAGCGCTGTACGAATCCCGATCGGAGCTTCAGTTTTTCACTCGAAGAGACGCCACCGTGTGTTACTCGCATAAACGGAATGCAGGGTCATTGAAAAATATTAATTATGGCAAAATGAGGGCAAAAAACGATTAATCAAGGGCCTAGAATAGTTCGGGAGAATTACCATGTGAAAAAAGAAACCGCATTAAAACTAGATGCCGGTTTTAACACAGTCTCTTATGGAAAAAGCGGCAAGAATCTTCTGTTCTTGATATTTGCAGTAATAAATAAATTCTTTTGCAGAATATACAGATACAGGAGAATCTCGTGAACATATCTGTAGCCTCAGAATATTCGTTAACTGTTTAATTCTCCTGATAAAAGAAATTTAAAAACAGTAGAATCTACAAGATACATTGGAAATTGGAACATAAACATAAACGAAACTGAAAATTTATTCTGGAATACATTATATAATCAATTTGAAGTTAACCGTTAAAATAAAATTATTTATTTGCGAGCTCTCTACATTCCAATGGAATATTGTAGTTCATTAGCTGACCCCGTTCCATTTAGGATCTAAATTTGACGTAAATTTGCTATCGTATTGCAACTGAAAATATTGAAGTTTCTAATAAAATAATTAAATAATGTTTGTTAAATAGTTAAACAGTCGAATAATTTAAAACCAGTATGCAAAATTTTATTTCGTAAAACGAAGAAACGAAAATGAAATGCAACAAAAGTCTTACAACAAAGAAATATTTGACTATGAGGAGGGGAATCGAATTAACAGATAAATCATATATGTTGAGTGAAATATGTATGTATATATATCTCGTGAAAAAGCTTTGACAACATTTTATTGTTAACCGCAGAAAAAGCCATATACACTTTCACACGAAATCGATCATAGTTTATAATAATATCGAAAATTTATAAGTGAATGTTGTACATAAATATAAAGACGACGATATTGCACGTTCTCGCGTGCCAAAACTGTACAAAAATTATGTCGAACATCTTTCGCAACGCTCGTTGAACAACTTATTACTCAGTGATTGTGGCATTTTTATATCCTTCGTCCCTCGTCGTTCTATTTTTTTTTGTCTTCTTTCGTTCATTATCTCGTTCACGTTCTCTTTGTTTTGCTTCTATTTTTTTTCGTATCTCTTGCATCGGTAAAATGACATGCTACTTGCATTCTGGAGGTGCGTGGTACAAGTTCACAGAGCTTTTTTTTTTCTTGACTTCACATGAGATGCGGTATTATTTAAAATCGATAATCAAATACACGGCCGGAGCGGGTGGAAGGAACGATTTTTTGGTGTTTTTTTACGCTTCTATAAATCTATCTATTCTATGTACTTTTAGCCGCGACGGTCAAGTGCCATAAATATATACATATATATACATACATATGTACAATACATATGTGTGTATACATACATATATACATATAATTTATATATAATATATTTATTCATTTATTTATTTATTTATTTATTTATTTATTCATTCATATAATTTATTTATTCATTTTTTTGTATTTTACTCGGTATCTTGAACGCAGCACGCACATTCGTTTCCTTCAATTTCTTACTTCCATTTTTCATATCGCGAATTATTATTGATTAACAACAGCGATTACATATTTAGACGTTGCGTGCTCCGATGTAAATTTCTATTTATTATTTAATGTTTATATATGTATTTATATATAATATACCTCTTCTCTAGAATTCCATTGCAGTGATGTCGTTAATGCGATTAATCGTTTCTTCTGTTATTTTTTCTTTTTTTAATTATTTTTAGATCCATCCACGTGTTCTATTCATATTGCTCTACCCTTATCGTGAGAATCTCCGATATATCTCGATCGACATCTGGTTTCTCCTTCTTTCATTTCATTTCATTAATTTGCTTCTTCATTATTACTATTATTATTATTGTTATTATTATTATTATTTTTTATTATTATTAGTAGTATTACTCCCTAAATCGATTCGTTCGACATTATCGACATGTCAATTATGCATTTATCATGTTAATACTTATTAAATATTTTTTTAATTATTGTAGATCACAGACAACTTGTTCTTAATCCATAAAAACAATTCAATTATTATTTCCTCCCATAGGTTTCTTAATGTGTGTTTCGCTTGTATGCGTTTCGTGTACGTGCGCGCATGTTCGCTTCGTGAAGACGTGTAACAAATCTGCATACATACGCTATGTATATGTGTTTTTGCCTATAGTGACGTGTTTTCTTTTCTTTTCTTTTCTTCCACATTTTTTTGTTTGTTTTGTTTGTACGTGAAGTGAACCGCAAACTGTAAAATGGCGGGAGATCGTGATAAATGAGATCCTGTCCTCATAAACGTTACGATGCTCTTGTAGAAACATTATTTTATCGTCGGGCCAAGAATGAAATTGTGAACGCTGAACAAAAAAATGACGAACAGCTCGAAAATTATATCGAAATATTTTTTTATATGCAACTCTGTAAATATAAATTCGACATATATCGGTTCGTATTTTTCATATTTTGTCATTCCGTCTCCTCCATTTAAAACTCGTTTTTTAGACTACGTGAATTTTCGCAATCCGAATCATTATAACTACGTAAATCAATTTCGTGTAACGTCTATCGCATATGTTTGATCGATATATCAGTGAATCAATGAGTCTGCACAAATATGTATAGTACAAAGTATTCTCTGATCGAAGGATACAAATTGATGTTCAAGGTTTAGAAAGCTTTATGGTATATTTTCATAGTAATTAGATGCGTTCTTTGAGGTACGTAGAACACTTTTCGAACACTTGCGGAAAGCATATCACTTCTTTTAGTAGCTAATGGCAATACTGCAGATGTTTATGCATTCATATTGAGAAATTTTGTTCGATACAATATATATGATATTATTATTGAAACAATAGTAAATAATACTCTGATAACGAATGATCAATTTTAACGTATTCATTTTTCGCCTTTCAGTTTCTTTGTCGATGCAACTAGAACAATATTGGTTCAAAGAATACATTTCCAGGATGGGCACGCATAAAGTAATTTCTCGTTATTATCGTGCATTGTTAATTTTTTTTAGACATTCCTGCAGAATCGGAAAATATAAAAAGAATTTAAAAGAAGAAATTCACATAAAATATTTCTTGTTTAACATTATACTTAAAATGTGACACAATTTGATACGTAAAAGAATATTTTAATTCTTCATTTGTAAAAATTATAGAATTCTAAATTGAACGAGCATTATTCTATATTCGAGAAATATATGCAGCTAAAATTGTAATAAATTTTATTAACCGTTTCTTTTAATTGCATTCCGAAGAAGCTATCTAATGAACCGCTTAGGTCGACGATTAGAAAACAGTTACGAAGACAAAATGAACATAAAGTAATAACTACACGAATCTACAAAAATTACTAGTCAGAAATTTCAATGAACAATAGAGACTCTGCTCTACATAAAAACAACTGCTTCATTAAACTATTAAATTGAGTCCCAAGAGTGATATTATCGCCGCAAACATTAAAAATCACGAATAAAAGATAAGAAAACTAAGGATCGTATTTCGATATTAAACCGAATTCGGTGGTCACCGGTGACTCAATCGAATATTTTAGATGGCATTTTTGCATAAACATCGTGATGCAGCCGTATTCCAATCATCTAATGAAACACCTTTGGTTGTTCGCGAAAAGAGTTCGCACCAGCAATTGTACCCCAAATTTAAATATTGCACGAAAGCACCGGAAGCGAAGTGTGCTAGGTAGGACTCGAAAGAGCCGCCAATTCCTTGAGCCATCAATTTTTCCCATCGATCTCAGGGGTGAAGGTTTGCCAGTTCTGCGCCACTCGTATCGATTCGCGCGCAGCAACCAGACCGCGAAAAACCGCTGTTACTTGTTTCATCAGCTGCGCAAGTTGCGCCTTGTTTCTTTACGTAACCGCGAGCTTCAGTTTTCGACTCGCGATCTCTCATTCCGATTCTCTCTCTCTCTTCTCTCTTTGTGTTTTCTGGTTCTGTACCCAGAATTGTTTCGCGCGGCTGCCTACAACGTTCTTCGTTAAACAGAGGAAATAATGCAAAGCTGAAATAACGACTTCTCGTTTCCTCTTAATAACGACAAACTTGACCCGCAGAGTCGTCGCAAAAATTCTGCGCCTCGCGTTGCCCTGCGAGGCTGATTCGTGCTCGTCAAATATTGCGACCGATTATTTCGCGACCGTGGGAGAATTTGCTCGAGCAAATTCTTCGACATTGGCGACACGTCGACGAGACGTTCAACAAATATTTCTCGTACGCGGCGAAAGCGATCGCTGGGCCCATTTTACGATCAAGTTCTATCGAAATTCCATCGCTCGAGTAAACACCATAGTTAGCGGACGAAACACCGAAGTGTTACAGCGATAGTTTCACAAAACAGATTCGTCCGTAAAGCGGTTCGACTTCGGTTACGATCGCAAAGTATACATTACATCGAAGTATAACATTCGGTAAACGGATGTTGAAAAATATGACCGAAGCCGACGGTATCGTTCGACAAAATATTCTCCGCGAACGTGAAAATTTCTGGTCGGCGTCGCTTTGCAGTTCGAAAACTCGAAGAAGAAGAAGAAGAAGAACGTGTTTGGCGGAACGGAAAAGTTAGCTGTTTCGTTAACGCTAGAACGCTGAAACACAGGTCAGCCGGCTGTTTTTTTTTTCGCGAATTTACTCGACAGCGATCCTTCGGTCTTCATCCTCCACATTCTTCCCTATAAAAACACGTGAACCGTGCGGGGGTAGTGGGGCGGCGAATCGGCCGGCTCCGCGAGTGGAATTTTCGATTGAACGAGCACACGAGCACAGGAGCAGCCCCCACACCCTGAAGAACCCTCGATCGGAAACTCGTGTGTGTCGCGGCACGGTGAGAACGGGCGTGTGTATCGGTGTCTGGTAGAATGTGCGTCGGCTCGTCTACGATGCTCGTAGAGAGTGCGGCGTGTCTCGAAATGCGTCATGATCACACAGCAAGCGGATATTTAACTTAGCGATACATGGTAATCGGTAACGGTATCCTTAAACATTAGCGAGTTTACTCTCGTTTAAGCTATCTAGTCCACGCGAGCGACGCGATCGTTCGGCGTCCGTCTCCTCGTCTTCCAGCGGGCACGATCGCGGTCGCGATCGTGATCTTCCGTGATCTCCCGTGCTCCTCGACGAGTGAACCAGAGCGATCGGCGCGCGATCGCCGATCGAAAGGACCGGTGTTTCTTCTTTCTCTCTCTCTCTCTCCCCCCCTCACTCGGTGTGTTGCGTAGAGCTGCTAAAATCGGAATCGGCAGGAATATGCGTTTCTCCTTGACTTGCTTGCGACTTCGCGACGGGTGGAGCTGATTTCGTGGAAGTTTCTCGCGGTTGTGTGCGCGTTCTTCGGCGCGATCGAATCGATTCGACGCTGAACGGACGAGAGGGTGAGACACGGCGAGACGACCCTGTTCCGTGTTCCGTGTTCGGTCGCATTTAGCAGGAGGTGCCTCCGCGCCGGGTAATGACTACACGAATCGCGGCGCGGAACCCGCGGCGAGCAGCGCGCGTGTGTATCGGCGACGCGCGGCCGCGCGCGCGGGCTGTTGAGATCGGTTTCCGAAAAGCGTTCGCGAGAGTGTTGCTCGAGAGAAACTATCGGATACGAGTACTACGATTTGGCTGACGGGAGTTTGGCCGAAAGACAAGTTTTCTGTAAAAGCCGCGGGTTGAATCGGGCCGGTCTCGCTCTCGCGGCCAGCCAATCTCGCGCGTCTCGGCTCCTACGAGATGACGTGTGGACAAGTGTTTGTTTCGTGGACGTAAGCTTTGCGAGTTTCGTCTTATCCGGTCGTCGAGCGACCGCATGGAACACAGAAGAATTTTTCGCCGATTAGAAATTCACGGTGTCTGACGGCGACCACCGCTTTTCAAGCCGCTTTCTTTCTCCCTCTCTCGCGAAACCAGAGAGACGGGAACTCCGAGAAGCAAAGAAGCGCGTCCGAATATCCGCGCGCGGACATTGTCGAGGCCCGCGTCGTTTGCTTCGAATCGGGCGGCGAGCCTCTTCCTTAACGAGATTCTTCTTCGATGTTTCCGGAAGTGCCCCTCGGGAGGCGACGAGAATCTGGCGTCGGAGTACACATCGACAGCGAATCTAAATACAATATTTCCTGTTTGGATTGCCGCCAAACGAGCCGATCGTTCGACCTCGGCCGGGCACGATCGGTCGGGATGGACGAGAGCGAGTCCTCGACGGATTGAATCGATCGGCGGAACTCCTCCGGGGGGTTCCCGCCGTTCAAAGACGGTCGTAGCACGGGCGGTTATCGAGTAGAAAAAAGTCTGTCACAAAATATCGTTTATCTCTATGGATGATAATTAGCGCGCGTACGGGGACAGTGATGCGACAGCGGTGTGCGGGCGTTATTTCTTCCTTTAAACCCTAACATTCGTACGGATGACACTCTCTGGATCACTTCCTCGGGTTCCGTTATCCTTCATCCCCTTCTCTTTCTCTCCTTTTCCATCGTCTCGGTCCTTTTGCTCGAGGAGAGAACGCCGTTCTGGACTTGGACGAAAATCGACGCCCGGTGTTGGTTTTTTTTTTCTTTCCCGCATGAAAAAAACATGCCGTTGAGCATCGTGTACTACCTCTGGTTCAGTCCGTGAGAATTCCTGTAGCTACGTTAGTTCCTATAGTTTTCGCGTTGCTAGTACATACTTGGTTGCTTGATCGCCCCCCTCCCCCTCCCTTCCTTCCTTCATCATCCCCTCTAGCCCCGTGTTCTTCTTTCCCGCCGGTTTAGTTGCCGACAATGAGAGAATATTGGCTGTTCGCGGTCGGTAACTTTGACAGGCTTCGTAGAAGCTCTTCCCCCCCCCTTTTTCTCTCTTCCGTATTCTCTCTCTCTCTCTCTCTCTCTCTCTCTCTCGATCGTTTCCGGTCCTTCGCGTTCTCTCGTCCCCGTGCTTGGGTCACTTTAGTGCGGTTTCCACGAGATGTTGTTCAGACCTTGAAAGTGCCGCTTCAGACTGCTGCCGTCGGCCCAGGGGGAGTTGAGATACTCGTCGTCATCGGCTTGCTCAAGTTTCTGAAACAGGCGTATCGGTACCGGTCAATTTAGTCTGATCAGTTTTCAATGGCTACCAGCTACTCGGTGCTCCGAGGAGCTTTCTCATTAATAACGGTTGCCGATTGATTCGATGACGAAGGGCGATAGGCGAGGGACGGGACGAAGAGGGCGAAGAGGAGACCGGTAGATGAATATAAACAGAGAATTACAGGATATAATGGAAGCTGGTGATACATCGAACGAAGCGGAATGTCCTTTGCTTCCTTCGGGCGACTACGAGGAAATCAATGCGCACGATTGAACAGCTTTTCCCCGATATGACCTGCGCATTTATTAATAGCTCCTACTATCTTTAGTAAAATCGCTTGTCAACATTTCGAGCACGTGCAAACACGTATAAAAAAGATTTCAGCTCGCTGGGTTCGATCGTTTTTTACGAAATGAATTCCACGATTATGGTTTCGATCGTTTCAATCGTTTCAACCGTTTCTTTCAGCTGATGTGTGTTACAGTGATACAGTAAATTAACAGTTAATTAGTAAAGAATTTGGGAAGAGGAGGTGTGATTATTTCAGCAAGGCTTGTTTTTATAGTTGTTGACAATCGGTAATTATATAAATGAGCCGCAAGACTTGAATAATCGTATCACCTATTCCCAAATTGGTCACTTTTTGTGTACAAGGTGAGCGTCAATTAGGGAGAATTTACTGTGTACGCACATAAATGTTCTAGCGGAGTAACGACGTGATTGGTAAATGACTTCGATAGAATGCTGAAACGAGGATAGTCGATTCTAGAGATCATTGGTCACCGATCGTCGAGTCACAGAGAAAAGCAGAGGTGTATGTACAGGGTATCCCAAAATTATTGTACAAACGAGAAATGAGAGGTTCTTGAAGTTATTTGAAGCAACTTCTTCCTTTGCGAAAATGCTATTCGCGGCTTCGTTTACGAGTTATTAACGAAAAACGGTGACCAATGAGAGGAGAGATCAGCTGGCGCGAAGCGGCCGAGCCAATGAGCGGTCAAAGCCCAGTTCCGCTCATTGGCTCGGCGCCTTGCGCCGGCTGAACTCGCCTCTCATTGGTCAGTGTTTTTCGTTAATAACTCGTTAACGATGCCTCGGAGAAAATTTTTGTAAAGGAAAAAGTTACTTTAAATGACTTCAGGAATCCCTCATTTGCCGGAAGTACCATAATTTTGGGACACTTATAATATTTATTCAGTAGTAAGGTTCGAAAGGAAACTAACGATGAAAGTCATGGTTGCTTTATCAATGTACGCCATCAAACGCCGGCAATTGCTAGACATCTGCTCTCAATTTGAGTGCTTTAGGTCGATTTGACCTAACTTCCATTGCCTTCGTTTCGTTAACTAGTTCGACGTTGTTCGTGTTTAAAGCATTATAGTATATCATTATAGTATACAATAGAAGAGCCTACGCCAGAACAAAGCTTAAAAATCATCGCTTCGAATGTAATCCTAGGAATCATAATTAACTTAAAGGATAATTAAGAATCAATTAATTAAAGCGTTAAGCTGAATACTGTATTTTATTAACGTATCTGTTATTTCAATGATTAGACAACGAATTTTATCCAGTTATGGCAGAAGTGAGTAGATGCAGTTTGAAACAGTGAAAACATCGAAAGAACTTAAGAGCGCATGTGTGTACTATTTTCGCCTCGCTGCAATCATTAAGGAAAGAAACGAGATTTCTATTTGACTCATGTATGTTCCAATTGATGAAGATAATTTTTACTTTAATTACTAGAACCGTTGTCTAGTAATTATAACCTATCCTCTATAACTATAATTCTATTTCTCGAAATGTGTTTATAAGATTATTATTATATTGTAATTTATTATATTATTATATTATTATAATAATATATTATATATATAATATTATTATATTATTATAATATTACATTATTATATTATTATATTATTATATAATATTATTATATTATATTGTAAGGTTAGGAAATGCGTTGATTTGCCGATTCGGCGCTCAAGCTGCGTCAGGACAGTGATTTCGTTGTTCTAAATGAAATGGATGTGACCGTCTTCCAAATAAAATCAATGGAAGAAACGGGAGCAAGCGGAGATCGCGACAGTAGCGGGGATGTGAAACGATTACTAGATTCGTAGCGAAGGGGCAACATCGGATCCCTTAATGTTTATCAGGCGCATGCTCTACTTGCCGCTCGCCGCTCGCATCGAAACCAATCCAACGCGAAGCGGCGGCGTATTATTGATCAAAGTGTACACGTTCTTCGGTGTCGAAAAATCATGAAAATTCTCTAGACAGCATCGATTATTTATTCCGGCATCGATACCCGGTCTCCTGTCACGATGCTCTGCGCGCTCTTTCGGAACACCGTTTACGAACATCGAACATATATCTACCGGTCTATCTATCTATATGAATTTCTATTAACCAGAGACGTGGACTATAAGCTGGAGTGTATAAGTAAGTTGCCAGAAGGCCGGCCGCTCTAAAGCCCAACGGGGACAGCACTATTGATCGCGTAACACTAACGAGCAATTTCGAGTATTAAAAGCAGCATTTTAATGACCATGAATATTGGAAATTTCGCTAGTCTGTTACATAATGACCCGTGGGGCTATTTCGGTACAGCAACGAGCCATCTCAAACATGAATTATCATCGTTCTTATGTTTTGTCACGCATCGAATGTGCCTCCTGCCATTGAGGTGGTGCTGAAGTTTATGATTTCCCTGTCTTCTTCTGTCTTTCAAATAATTCGATTTCTAGCGAATTTTTCGAGAAGACATGATAATGAAATCTCAAAATAAATGTCCATTTCACTTTGTTACTTCGGATCTGTAATGTCGGAGCGGAGTGGACATATTGATTTCAGCTTACGATTCCAGATACCTTCTTCTGGAAAATAGACTACGGTGTTTAGTATTTTTTACGTTATTCAGTTTCAACGAAGAGCAATTTTTCTGAATATTAGCGATATTATGTTACCGGATATAATTAACAGGACCATGGTTACCTTCAATCACCTGTAATTATCAAAACGACGAGGGTGATTCTGCATGTAAGTGTGCTAATAAAAAGAAATAGAATTGTTCCATAAAGATTTTGACATTCTCGAGAACGAGTTCGCAATCTGAAAGTGGCGGGTTCCTTAAGTCATTTGAAGCAACTTCTTCCTTTACAAAAAATTTCTCCGAGGCACCGTTAACGAGTTATTAACGGAAAACAGTGACCAATGGGAGGCGAGCTCAGCTGACGCGAGGCGACCGAGTCAACGGCGCCAGCGGTCGAGGCGGTCGAATCCCAGCTCAGCTGACGCGAGGTGACCGAGCCAACAGCGCCAGCGGTCGAGGCGGTCGAATCTCAGTTCAGTTGGCGCGAGGCGGCCGAGCCAACGGCGCAAGCGATCGAGGCGGTCGAATCCCAGCTCAGCTGGCACGAGGCGGCCGAGCCAACGGCGGAACTGGGCGCTGGTTGACTGGGCCGCCTCGCGTCAGCCGTACTCGATTCTTATTGGTCACTGTTTTTCGTTAATAACTCGTTGTCGGTGCCTCGGAGAAAATTTTTGTAAAGGAAGAAGCTGCTTCAAATGATTTGAGGAACCCTCCATTTCCGGATTGCGAGACATTTTTGGGAAAAACACTGACCAATGAGAGGCAAGCTCGTCTGACACAAGGCTGCCGATCTCGCCTCTCATTGGTCAGTGTTTTTCGTTAATAACTCGTAAACGAAGCCTTGAATTGCATTTTCGCAAAGGAAAAAGTTACTTCAAATGACCTCGGGAACCCTTCATTTCTCGGAAGTAGCATAAGTTTGGGATACGGTAATGTCTCCCTAATTGACGCCCAAATTGTGCACAAAAATGGACAATTTGGGAAGAGGAGATACGATTATTTGAGCCTTGCGGCTCGTTTTTATAATTATTGCCAATTCGTAACTATAAAAACTAACTGCAAGGCTGGAACAATCGTATCTCTTCTTCCCAAATTGTCCATTTTTGTGCACAATCTGAACGTCAATTAGGGAGACTTTACTGTACCTTGTATACTATATTAAGTATTCTGTGAAAAGTGGTTCCAGGATGGTTGTACGCGATCGTATAAAACGCCGTTGAAGATAAAAAAGAAACCGGCACGAATTGTGAGAGTTTGCCGCAAGTCCATGGCGGCGGTAGTTAGGTTATAATCGATGCTCGCGTCCTTGCCTCACGCATCCCATACAAAGATCGATTCGCATCTAACGAAAATATATAGCGTTACCTATTGTCGAGTGGATATCGGTTTAGATAGCCGCGATCAGCCAGAAAGATTTCATCGAATATATCATTGTACGTTTATAGAAACGAACACGTACGTCCGACGGTATAGAAGTTCCTTGGAACGTGTTTCTACACGAAGTCGCAGAAGTTCGACAAATTTTTCTTGAATCCCGCGGATCACAGTATATAAACATTGTACCGGATCGATGTGATCGAATAAAATCAATGTTATCTGAATAAAATATTTTAATGAAAAAACGATGTAACGTATTACGTGAATTCGTAATCGAAATTGCTGTAAGTGATCCTATCATGCGGTATTACCGTCGAAAGGATGTAACAGAAGCAACGTAACCTGTTGACCCGTACGACTTAATATGCGCTGCTAATCGTTATTCCATTTGACATGGAACTGTTTGCCTAAACCATCCTGTACACGCAGGTGTAGCGGATTCGATTCTAGCTGTCTTAAATAAACATACGGCTTGTACACTCGGCCACAGACGCGAGACGGGAACAGTGTTATTGTACTCTCCTTTATTACGCGTAGCAAGCAACTTGACGAATGGCGTCGTACAACTAGCGACGACCGGACACCGGGTGACAAGGGATTTAAGATAACGTGACAAGCGTTTGAAAAATATGCGAATATCAGAAAGTGTATAATACGTCTGGAAATGAAAAAAAATTTGTGAAACTGGAACAAAGAGGTTTTTAACCCTTAAATGCATATTGTTGCCAATTGTCT